TGGATCTCTTTCAGTCAGTTGGCCAGGTAGCTGTCTTCCATATATCTTGGCATAACTGAGTGAGTGACTCTAGTGGGGCATCTGTTTGTTGAAACATCTCAATGGGTTTTCCATCAATTCCTGGAGCCTTGTTCTTTGCCAATTCCTCAGTGCAGCTTCGACTTCTTCCTTCAATACCATTGGTTCTTGAACATATGTCACCTCCTGAAATGGATGAAGATTGACCAGTTCTTTTTGGTACAGTGAGTCTGTGTATTCCTCCCATCTTCTTTTGATGCTTCCTGCATCATTCAGTATTTTGCCCATAGAATCTTTCAATATTGCAACTTGGGGCTTACATTTTTTTTTTTTTATTCAGTTCTTTGAGCTTGAGAAATGCTGAACGTGTTCTTCCCTTTGGATTTTTTAATTCCAGGTCTTTGCACATTTCACTATAGTAATTGGCTTTGTCTGCTCAAGCTGCTCTTTGAAATCTTCTCTTCAGCTGTTTTATCTTGTCATTTCTTTCATTGGCTTTAGCTACTGTCTGCTCAAGGGCAAGTTTCTGAGTCTCTTCTGACATCCATTTTGGTCTTTTCTTCCTTTCTCATCTTTTTAATGACCTCTTGCTTTCTTCATGGATGATATTCTTGATGTCATCCCACAATTTCTTTGGTTTTAGGTCATTGATGTTCAATGCATCAAATCTATTCTTTAAGTGGTCTCTAAATTCAGGAGGGATATTATCAAGGTCATATTTTGGCTCTAGTGTACTTGTTTTAATTGTCTTCAACTTCAATTTGAATGTGCATATGAGCAGGTGATGGTCTGTTCCACAATCAGCCCTGGCCTTGTTTTGGCTGAAGATACTGAACTTTTACATTGCCTCTCACCACAGATGTAGTCAGTCTGATTCCTGTGTACTCCATCTGGTGAAGTCCAAGTGTATAGTCATCATTTATGTTGTTGAAAAAAGGTATTTACAATGAATAAGTCATTGGCCTTGCAAAATTCTATCAAGTGATCTCCAGCATTATTTCTATCACCAAGGCCATATTTTCCAACTACTGGTAACTTTTCTTTGTTTCCAACTTTAGCATTCCAATCACCAGTGATAATCAACACATCTTGATTTCACGTTCGGTTAATTTCAGACTGCAGAAGTTGGTAGAAATCTTCAATTTCCTCATCTTTGGCATTGGTGGTTGGTGTGTAAATTTGAATAATAGTAGTATTAACTGGTCTTCCTTATAGGTGTGTGGATATTATCCTATCACTGACAGCATTGTACTTCAGGACAGATCTTGAAATGTCCCTTGTGATGATGAATGCCATGCCATTCCTCTTCAAATTGTCATTTTCAGCATAGTAGATCATATGGTTATCTGATTCAAAATGGCCAAAACCCATCAATTTCAGCTCACTAATGCCTAGGATATCTCTCTTTATGCATTCCATTTCATTTTTCACAACTTCCAATTTTCCTAGATTCATACTTCATGCATTCCATATTCCAATTATTAATGAATGTTTGCAGCTGTTTCTCCTCAATTTGAGTCATGACACATCAGCAAATGAAGGTCCTGAAAGCTTTACTTTTTCCATATCATTAATGTTGGTTCTACTCTGATGAGGCAGCTCTCTCCCAGTTGTATTTGAGTGTCTTCTGATCTAAGGGGCTCTTCTTCTTGCACTATATTGGACAGTGTTTCTGGGTTATTCATAGAGTTGCCCAATAATGTATCAGGCAGGGTTTCTCTGCTATTTGTAAGGTTTTCCCTGGCTAATTCTTTGAGAAGTGGATGGCTTCTTCCTTCTTCCTAGTCTGTCTCACTCTGTAAGCTGCATTGAAACCTGTGTACCACATGCAACTCTGGTGGCATTTGAAACACCAACGGCACAGCCTCCAGCCTTTCAGCAGGACACAAGCCACTACAGTATGACACTGACAGACAAGTTCATCTCCCTCTGCCTTCCCTTTACCTCGATCCTACCTGGATCCTGCCGCTTTGTCGTCTCTGATGTTCCCTCTCTGTCCTGCCTCTGGGGTGGGGCCTGTCTTCCTCTAAGTCTCTAATTTGTCTAATAAGTAAATATCACAAATATATAAAGTGCACAAAATATCCTTGAGCCTGATAAAAAAACAATAGTGCTACAAAATTGATTTCCTGTATCATTTCTTTATTTAATGCTAAACTTTCTTAGCATTGAACACTAGGGTTATGCAATTGAGGTTACCTGATGGACAGTTCATGACTCAGATACAAGATTGTCTCAGGTAGGCTGGGACTAGAGACCTAGGGGCAGCATATCTAGAGCAATTCTTTCCATAGCATGGATAGACATACTCAATCTATTTTTAATAGTTGCTATAATAACAGGGGATTCCACGCATATTCTTTTCAGATCGGATTGGTTTCACAATGTGCTGTTTGCAAGATTCACATCTTAACCTTTATAACATCTTTCAACATTGTCATCTAATTTGGATGGATAAAATACTTGCTCCTGCCTCTCCTGTGTGGTGCAAACTCTACTAGCCGGGTTGGTTAGTCAAACCCATTCAGAGGCACCTCGGAAGACAGGCCTGGATATCTGCTGCTTAAATGTCACAGCCTTGAAAACCCTATGAAGCAGTTCTACTCTGCACACATGGGGTCGCCAAGAGCTGGAATTAACTTGACAGCAACTAGCAACAGCAGCACCTTTCCTACTTTGCTTTCCCAACTAATTCAATTCAGCTAAACCAGCCTAATTCCTTCCTGATTCTTCTGTGCCCTGGCTGTTTGGCAATGGCTCCAACGACGTTCAGTTGACAATTTAGACACTGGATTATATTACTCCCTTACAAGGCCAGCCATTCAGAGGTGGCTGAGAGGGGCTGCAGCTCTCCCCCAAGATATCCATCCACCCCATTCTTTCTTATCAACAATTAATATTTTCTCAGTTTTAAGTCAAATGATATTCAAACTTGCTTTCCAAATTCATAGCTGCTGCTTTCCTCCAAAAAGATTCCTTCCTCTAAGCCATTCTACTTAGAAATTCTAAAACTATCATTGGTTCTTTGCTTTAAAGCTCTTCAGTGGTTTCCATTGCACTTGAAATAGAATATAATATCCATTGCACTTCGAATAGAGTATAGGCCTTAACATGGCCAACAAGTCCTTGCATGATCTGGCTCTCACCTTCCTCCATGACCTCATTGTATGCATTTCTCCTGCTTGTTATGCTCTGATTCCAGCCACGCTGGCCATTTTCTACTTCTAACAGTAGCCAAGATTCTGTCCTACTGCAGGGACTTTGCACATGCTATCCTGCTTTCCAAAACATCATCTTTCCTACTCTTGGTGACCGTTGGGTGACTCCTTATTTGGAAGATCTCAGCTTAACTGTCATTTCCTATGAAGAATAGTGGTTATTTTTCTTTAGAGCACTTAACACAATTTGTGCATTTTTTTGCTTACTGCCTGTCTCACTACCAGACCATAAGGTCCATGAAGACCGGGACCATGTGTGGTGTTCTGTTTGCCCAGCATTTAACACAGTGCTGGCATATCAGTATTATTTGCTGAATGACTGAATATCACATTTGCCACAGCACTCACCATTAGCCTTAAGTCTTAACTCTTATCGTCATTCATATAGTCATTCTTGCTCATGGGAGGTGAAGAGTAATTATTTGTTAATTGAATTGAGATACCTTGATGTTAATATCTCATACATTCAGTAATACAATTATTTTTATTACCTTTAAATTCCTTAAGGAGTGCCAGTGACCCAGTGGTTAAAGCATTTGTCTGCTAACCAAAAGGTCCACGGTTTGAATCCACCAGCCACTCTGTGGGAGAAAGATGAGGCAGCCTGCTTCTGTAAAGATTTGCAGCCTTGGAAACCCTATGGGGCAGTTCTATTTTGTTCTATAGAGGTGTTGGAATGGACTTGATGGCAGTGGATTTGGATTTTTGGTTATATTCTTTTACATTTTTAGCCTTCTATACTTTCTAAAGGTATAGTCATTCTGTCTTCAGCGGCCTTTTGCAATGAAGAAGACATTTCAGCAAAATGTGCCTTTTTTTGGGGAGCTCTGGTAGCATAGTGCCTAAGGCACTTGACTGCTAACCAGAAGGCTGGCCGTTCAAACCCCACCAGCCACTCCTCCGAAGGAAGATTGGGCAATCCACTTCTGTAGTAATACCGCCTTGGAAACCCAAGGAGGGGTCGCTATGAGTCGGATCCAACTCCACGGTAGTAAGTTTGATTTTGGTTTATGGTACTTAATGATTATTGTTACTTATTTATTTACCTGAAAGAGATTTATCTCGAGAGAGAGAGATTACTTACTTTGGCTCCACAGTACAGAGGACAATCTTGAGATATTGACTGGAAGCATCTAGTCCTAGATTCTATGTCTGTGGCTGAAACGCCCATCGGCCTGGTTCTTCAAGAACCTTGCTTCCCCTAAAGGATTCATACTGCCTTGGATTAGACCAGGATTGCGCTAGAATTCCCCGAATCTTAACCGTTTAGAACCCGCTGCTCTTTGCAGTATCAGCTTCATCAGAGCATCTCCCTATCAAGACTTTACTTGACTGCACAAGTCCTTGACTGCACATTAGTACGTGTGAATAAAAATTATTTTGAACGTTGCATTGTCATAGGTGGAAAACGCAAAACTATAAAAGAAAATAGAACGTTGAAAGAGAAAATCACAGTTATTGTGCTGTTGATGTTTACAGCTCAAAGCATTTTTTTTAAAAGCTCTAAATGGGGGAGATACGCATTTTTTAACAAACAGCAAGAGCGCAGCGTCGTCGGGATCAGCAACAGTGTGGCTGTGCGCCTTTAAGTCGGCGTGACCTCTGAGTCCCAGGCCCGTGCCCGGCCCGGCGCCCCGGCCCTGGCGGCTCTTCGCCCCCTCCTTACCTCCCGCGCAGCGCGCATTGTTGTCCTTTAGCGATTGGTCATTGGTCTAGAAACAGCTGTGCGGAGCCGTGCTGTGTAAAGCGTCTGTGGACCTGAATGCAGTTTAGCCGGCTGCTAGTGACTTACACCTGGGATCGTGGGGGAGAGAGGAAGACCCGGAGGCCGCTTCCACTGCGTTTTCCAGGCGACGTGGATCAGGTGCCTTGGGGTTTGCGGTTGTCGGAGGACCTCCCGGTGGCGCCTCCTCCCTCTGGCGCTGGCTTACTTCAGGGTTGGCGCAGGTGGGCAAGGCAGGGCATCGCAGATCTCCTGTTACCACGGAAGGTTTTTCTCTCCCTCTAACCGAGGGGGTGGGACCAATTTAAAAATATGTTAACACACGAGCGCTGACTCCAGGCTGGGCATCAGCCAAGGTCCCAGCACAGCCACAGAGTGTTTTACATGAAAATGAGGAGCCTGACAGGATCCGTGCTCTAACTTAAGGCAGCTTCGTGATTAGCATGAATCTGAGTGGCTGCCCTGCTTCCTGCCCTTCAAAAGCCATTCTTCGCGCTCGCGATTGAGCAGCAGTGCCACAGTGCCGGTGTCGACTCAGCAGCCTCGGCATCATTGGCAGCCATGGCTCCGGACGCCGCTGCGGCCAGTAAGTAGGAGCATGCATGTGTGGGGGGCACATGTGTGTCGGTACACACACACCCACACCACCCCGAGCCGCCGCTGAGGAAGAAGGAAGATTGACGAGGTGCTGCAGTGGTAAGGGCGACCTGGGCTCTTCCTGGTTTTCACGGAATCGACTGCCGCAGCTGCTGTCTGCAGAGCCTGCTCGGATCCCTGTGCACACGCGCCCCCCATTTGAGCCTGTGTAATGAAGACTGCCTCCCAACAACTGCAGGGGAGGCAGAGGCAGGCTGAGCCGGAGACTGCGGGCCGCGCGGCTGATAGGCCCAGGGGGACACAACTTGTACACTGCCATCGGGACGCCTCTCGCTAACCCGCCTGCATCGGAGGGTCTGCTGCCGCCCCTCCGGCTTCCCGGGCGCCCCATCCTGGGTCAGCCCCGGAGGCCTCGGCCTCCTCATTTGTTTGGGTCTTTTGTGCCGTGGCTCACAGTTGGCTAAGCACTCCTGCGCTGAATCGGGCCATTGTCTGCGCTCCCATTGCTTTCACGCTGCAAGTCTCCGCGCCCCCACCCCGCCGGCCCCCTCCCCGCCTCCTCCTGGCCGGGGAGCCTCCTAACGTGCCTTTCCCCCCAGGAATCTGGAAGCTATAAGCCAGGCGGATTGCAAATGAAGTGTAATGCATTGTGGGACGTGTGTAAAATCGGAGCCTTCGCTGTGGGGGTGTGGGGGGGCGTGGGGAGGGCCGGACCCGCCGCTGGCGGTGTAGACGCCGACGAGGAGGGGCTGGGAAAATGTGCGCAGAGTCCGCTCGGGTCGTGCCCGCCGTAGACGGATGAAGCAGCGCGCTGCGCCCCGGCGCTGAGGCCCCGAGGATCGGGGCAGCAGGTAGCCATCCCCACCATGAAGAAGACCCGGAGCACAACCTTGCGGCGAGCCTGGCCTAGCTCGGATTTCTCAGACCGGGCCTCGGACCGCATGAGGTCCCGCAGCGAGAAGGACTACCGCCTGCATAAGCGCTTCCCCGCGGCCTTTGCGCCGCAGCCTTCGCGGGGCTACATGACATCAGGTTGGTAACCGCGTTTCTGCCTCCCGGCCAGGTCCACGGGCCATTCTGGGTGAGGTGCTTAGATGGGAGAACTGGCGGTTGATGGATGTGCTAAGTTATGGGTAAAGCAGAAAAAAAATTAGCTCACATCCACCATTTTGTACCTCGGCAAGATCCACAGCAGGCCCTCTCAATATGGGGTTTGAGAGCTATTAGTTAGGTAAAATCGGGGAGGGGGACGAAACGGACGTTTTGGCTGCAGGGAGATAAATGACTGCAAACCCGGTGCGGACGCCTCCTTGAGCTTTGTGGAAGAGCCTGCGCCCAGTGTTGCCTGCAGTACCAGGCTTGCTTGCTCCTGCATTGTGGCTAGTTATCTTAGGGGGTGTATAAACAGACCCCCCTTTTCTTTTCTGAAAAGGGAACAGGTTCCATGCACAGTTGTTTGAGTCAGGGGAGCTCTGCCTTCATCTGGGGCTCGTCTTATTTGCACGCAGAGAACGATGTTGAAGCTCATTGAATGCGTTCTGTTGGGTAATGGTGTGTATGCGGATTGAATGCTCACATGATTCTGTGTGGATTTAACATATGTTGCTTTGAATTAGGTTGTATGAGCGGAATGGAGGCTGTATCATGTATTTGCATGTCAGGCAGGAAGAACAAATAAAACGATAAATGAAGGTGAGGGCTTCAAAGAAGAAGATTTCATCTTAAATGCGGTGCTGTTGAAAGCATTTCTGAAGGAGTCAGTTCCCTTTGGATATACAGTGGAATGGCTTTCGTGTGGGACTTGGGAACACAGGGATTAAAATACTTGAGGCAATGCTGAAGGAAATCTTTCCATTTCTTTCTTCTTACCTATTGTTAACCACTTGTATGCAATTTTGTGTAAGGCATCAATTTTTGTTTGTTTTTCATTCTGAAAAAATTGGTTTTCCTCAGACACAACGTCATAGAAGGACAGTGATTATATTTTAAACCACGTATTATACCAAAGCATACTTAGCCCTGTCTTAACTGGGAAGATTGCATTAAACTTATGGTTAGTATTTATAGTCTAGCTCTACTATCTTTCTCCTAAAACAGCAGGTCCTTTTAACTGGGGGCAATATATCATGTTTTAAAAATGTCTTCTGACCACATTTCCATGAATATAAACCCTAAAGAAAATAACTTTTTTTTAATTGCATAATTTAGCAACATAAGAATGTTGTACTATTTTGGCAGTAAGGCTCCCTTGATATTCTCTTTCATGAAAAGCCAGATTTGTAAAGGAAGTGACAGCTACAGTTTATACTTAAGTAATTTAAGTCAGTCACTGCTGTGGTTGCTATGGTCTTCAGACTTGTGGCAGCAAATTTTGAAATACACCTAAATCCAAATCTAACCTCGAAACACATATCTGCATAAAGCTATGTCTGCAGTGAGTATTTCGATAATCTTAGGTTTCATATACTTACAGTTTGAATGTCTTCATTCTATTCTAAATGATTCTCCCTCTCTCTTGCTTTTCTTATGGAACCAGTGCTACAGCAAGTGAAGCTATCAGGAAGGCAGATGGTCATAATTTCTTCAAAAAAACCTGCAAGACTCTTTACTAATTTCAGGCATATTCCCATGGAGCCTATTTTTACCTATCTTGGCATGCCTTCATAATGATTGCATTTTCAGTCTTGGCAAAAGAACTTCTCTGCTATGGTCAGTGCTACAAGGCATTTTGAGAACTTGAGATGGAAGCTCTTGATTTTATTAAATTCTATTGTCTTATTTCACTTCCTGACCTCCAAATGGTAGGATGGTTTTCTGGTGATCATGAAGGATAAACTGCTCCAAATTGGTGGTTTTCTTTGTAGAATTCAGTGTTAAGTTACAGCTGAGAAACAGAAAATGGAAAAGGAGGAAGAAGACCTGTGTCATTCATTCAGCATTTTATGGAGTGTCTCCTAAGAGCAAAGTGGTTACTAGATTCTCGTGGTGATACAGGAATGGATGTAATATGGTTGTTGCCCAGGGAGCTGGCTGTTATTTATTCTTTACTTTCAATGTTAGCCAGTACTTGCAGTAAAAAGCATAGGTTGATGCTAACCAAAGGAAATAGTAAATATTAAGGATAATCACCTACAGGGAACATGGGGAGTCTATTTCATATGCCACTTTGGGGAGTATCTTACTTATTTCCTTTCCAAATATGACTCCTTTAAAAATATGACTGTCGGTAGCAATAGATGGCATACTGAAACACTTTGAGATCTTTTATAGGAAGGTCTTTCTGTCTTAGGAAACATAAAGAGAATCCACTTGTATCACAGTTAGTGATTTTGGATATAAATGGAGCCTTTGTCACTAAAATGAAATAGAAAATGCAGCAGCTTAGAAACACATCAGCTCTTCATATTTCCTCATCTGTTTGTCCAGTTGTTTGACCTAATAATTACTAGTATGACCGTACTACTTTTTCAGTAAAGTGAGGTTTCTGTTCTGGGTAAATTACTTGGGCTCAAAGGACAAGATAAGTCTCTTCATAAAGAATCTGAAATAACTTCTGTTATGAGACTATTTTTAGAAACCTCCTCCAACATATATTTCTAAAAAGTGTAGGGAAAAATCACTCTTTTAATCTTTAAGAAATGGGAGATCCTTGGACATTTTTAGACATAGCTATTAATAATGGTCCTTTTGGTCTTGAGTACCTGCCACACACTAGGTGCTTCAGCTCCATTTATTAAAGCAAAATTGTAGGCTTTCCATTATAACTTCCTAATGAGACAGCACCATTTCAAACAGTCTTTGCTCCACTGATAAGTAATTACAAGTTTGAAATGTGATTTATAGCAATGGGCTTGACATTTAGCCTTGGCTTTTTCGTATACCTTCAGGACAAACTACATTTAAGCTCAAGAGGTTAGAATAGGCCCAAATAAAACTATGGTGGTCTGCAAAGGAACAGTTAGTTAGACAATCCAAAACTTTAATCTTGAAGACCATGCCTTATATGACTCTTTAATCTCCCACTTCCTGCTACCAAATCTAAAGTAGTTGTAAGAATTCACAGGACTCCTACCAACCAGCAAGTTTACAGGCCATGAGATGAGTTCATTGTTCATTTTAAATATTAATTTCTCAAAGGTAGTTTCTGGGGAGGAGGAAGAAAACCTTGCCTTCTGTTCAAATCAAGATGGCTAATAAAATGTGCATGGCATTATCTGAAGAAGAAGAGGGGTTGGACCAAATGGACGTGTGATCATTCTTCGACATTTGCTAACACTGTTGTTGTTGTTGTTATGTGCTGTCGAGTCAGACCCAACTCATAGCGACCCCTCCTTGCGTTTCGAAGGCAGTATCACTATGGAAGTAGATTGCCCAAACTTCCTTCCGAGGAGTGGCTGGTGGGTTTGAACCACCAGGCTTCTAGTTAGCAGTCAAGTGCCTTTGGCACTACACTACCTACCAGAGCTCCTTTGCTAACACTCAAAACTCTGATATTAAACTCCTTTTAGTTTTGCTACATCATCTAGAGATAAAAGTAAAACTCCCTATGAAGAGGGAACTAGCTGTACCGTGCTTAGTACCTTATCCATGAAATCATGTTCACATACCTTTGTGAAACGATTTTCAAGGCCTGAAACCTTTGTTGATGAAGCTGTTAGTCTTCTCTATTAAAACTGTGTGAACTGTGACCTTGTCACCAGATGATACTACTTATAACTTTTAATTTTATTCACTCTTCCCCATGCCCCCAGCCCAGGGGATGAGTGCTTCTACATGGTGTGTATATAATGCTGATAAATTTTTGAGCATTCTTATTGATCAAGATAGGAAAGTAATTTTTCCACTCTAAAGGTCCTGCAGAGCATGCTCATAACTTTGCTTATGAATGAGACACCCTGAAGTCATGGCACATTTTAGTTTAATATATTTTAAAGAACCACTTTAAAGCATAAAGTAGACTTTTGTTATACAATGGATATAAAGGACTCCGAAATAAGGATAAAGCAAAGCCCCAAACTGACATCTCAAAATTTAAATATTTTATTGGCTAATTTAAAGTAATATAATCAGTGAGAAGAATCTGCCAGTACACCACCTTGATTAGTTATTTGTTTTCATTTAATAGAAACTAATTCTGGGACACAGTTGGCTCTGCGTTCCAGTTCCTTATGTCCTGTTATTTTAGGAGACAGAGTTTTCTGGGTATGAAAGATGGACACTCTAGGCTCTAATCTGAGCCTGCCACAAACCAGCTGTGTCCCTGGCGGGTAATATGACCTCACCCTCATCTGTAATGAGTCCTCCAGTTCCACGCTTCCATTACAGAATTGGGCTCAGCGGTGACTCTATAATGAGCGAGTGCTGGATTTTTGAACACTTACACATATATCCAAAAAACCCAAAAACCCTTTGCTCCCTTTATACTTTTTGGAGTCATATGCTTGCCTGTGTGGGAATTGTGCTAAATTTGTCCCCCCCCCTCCGCATCCTCAAACATTATGTTAAATGTCTGCGTCTTAGCATTTTCCTTAGTAACCAGAGTAATGGGGTGAAATGATAGATTAAGACTCAGCAAATTATAATCATACGCAAGTTTTAATAAACAGCATCCTGTCACCTCCTCTTCCCTTGTTACTGAGATCCATTTTCAGCCTAGCTGCTCCAACTGTGTTTTAATTTGAAACTGCCTATGTTGACTCCTTTCATCAGGCAAGTGGAAGTGAGCAATATTACATACACTTGGTGGTGAATGACTTTATTCTTTATTTCCCAGGAGAACATGAATGTGCTTACAAAAGGTCACTTCTCTTGATATTTCAATCTCTTTTTCACTCTTGTGAAAGTTATTTTAAAAAAGGAATACGAATATATTGTATGAAAACCAGAACATTTTTGTCCATTCAGAACAATTCTAGCCTTAAATTCCCTGTTCCCCAGAGATTTAAGACAATTCAGACAATGCTATGTCCTTTGGACCAAGATTGCTTATGCAAAATGCGGATGTAACCCAGGCAATATCTGGTTAGATACTT